TTAGGAAACGCCTTCACCAGCTTGCGGAAAAGTGTGCTTGAACCCTAAGAATTATAGTCAAAATGATCACTCCTTCCGGTGTCAAAACCTTTCATCACACGTTCGGGTCTGCAGACCCCCAACTCACTTGATGCTACAGACACTCCATGCTCTTTCCATGGAAAGGAAATTTCAGCTGGTGGAACAGAGCCATTAGAGCCGAGGGGTGTGGAAATTGAAATGATGGAAACATGTGTGTATGATAGAGCCGAGGGGTGTCTAACTTGTGTGTCACGACCGGTTTGTTCCACGTCAGATCTGCTATGCTTGGACCGTTGTGGCGGGTCCTTCGCTTGGAAAAGCCGCCGTAACGCCGGCGATGGTGAGACCAAGCAGGAATCCCGGTGCAATCCCAGCAGACCTGCTGTTTTTCATGCCGTTCACCAAACCTCAAAACGATTAGAACCTGTAAGACGGTTGCACGTTTGGCAGGGGGCCAAAATAACATCAAATAACATGGCACTCTACGGCAGAAACTTGTGACCCACACGAACCTTCGGCGAAGGCAGCGGCACAAGCTCTGGAGGACTGACATCATGTACCCATTTAAACCCCCCTCCCTTTTTGCGGGCTCGGCACAAAGATCTCGTCCACCTATATCTCTCTTCCATTTCGAGGCTCGCTCTGTTCGATCCGAGATCGATGCTCTCGATCCGCGGTCGGTTTGGGCAGCCGCGAGTCGAGCGTCAAGGGGTGCGACCGAACGTGGGATCTCCATGGATCTCCTTTTTGGCCCTTTTGGGGGGACATGAAGGATGAATCTGAACTGGAGAGATGGAGAGATGAAGATGTGAAGATGCCAAGCTGTCCCAAATCGTGGCACTGCCAGGAGCTGCGGAACCGCCCACCAGGAGCGCTGAACGGAGCCCTGAACGGAGCGCTCCTTCGGCCAAGAAGGAGTGCCTTCCCGCTGCGCCGAAGCTGCAGGGAACGACGCGTTGTTTTTTCCCCGGTCTAAGGCTGACTGACGCAGTCAAACCTGGTGCTGAAAGCCTTGTATGAGCAACTCCAGGAAAATGAGGTCCAACAGACTTCGTAGGGTTTATGATTTTGAGGGAGAGGAACAGCATGAAGGCTTCGGTTGAGGGAAGCAGGAGCATGCTGGGTCGACAGACCTTTCGACGACGCTGCACAGCAATGCGGCATTATGCGGTATGAGTTGTTGGTTGTGCATGGTGCAGGAATCTATATGACATCATTTGCTAGATCGACCAACTGTAAGGTACATGACCCAGCTAACATCTGGACAGTTTTCTATATTGAGTTGTTTTTTTTCCATGGGTTTCATTGCGTCTTCTCACGTCTTTTCATGGCACAAAATGACCGGTCTCGCAAGATCCCGCAACTATCCGCAACTCAATCACGCCATGCTGGGGGAAAACGTCTCAGGTGGAGAGCTCTGAGGGTGAGACCTCTGAAGAAGAGGTCGAAGTTCAGCACTTTTCCATCCCACCGCGTTCGCCCAGGCCAGGGGGTGAACACCCGTCGGGCGGGCAGGTCAGTTGGTGTGCGTATGTGGCCTTCGTTTGACAGACAGGGCTGGTTCGGACGGTTTTTTGGGTGGTGAAACGGAAGAGAAACGATAATATATAGACTGGATCGAATAGAGTTCACCCAGATCATCCCAGATCCCATTCCCAGATCGGAATCATGGGTGGTCGGCCCAGGGTCATCGAGTTGAACGGATCTGATCCACGCCGGGCACGGGCGAGATCCGCCGGCGCCGGGGCTTCTTCGACCGCACGGGGAAGGATCGGTCGACGGACCTGGCCGCTTTCGACCCAGGACGGAGGTCGAGATCGAGGTGGAGCTCGAGGTGGAAGGCCTCGTTGAGGCGGAACCGGGAAGGGGTCGAAGCAGGATCCGTGCGGTGGCGACGTGCGACGGCGTGGCGAGACGTGCGGTTGCGGACGCGCGTATACGAACGCTGGTTATAAGTGGTTTTGGAAGCTTGACAACGTGGAGAAGTGCAGGCTGGACCCTACCTGTCTTTGGGCTCAAGCTGACCATGCACAAACCCAACAATCAAGCCTGAATACAGAACATTGGCATAAATTTGCAAGGTATAATGACGTACAAGATGGCACTAAGGTTCTGGACCCCACCACCCGGATTAGCCATGATCCAGTTTTTCTTTTAAAAGGCCCACACTGACTCTCAAATTTCTTCTCCATGGCGCAGACACCTGGAGTGCCCGTTCCAGTGATGAGCAGCTCCAGTTCCTCCAGTGCCAGTTCCAGCTCAGAGGAAGCGGAAGCGGACGTGGAACCGGCCGCCACGGCCGCCGAAGCGGCCGCCCCGGCGGCCGACGGGGCGGGTGACGTGGCCGCGCCGCGTCGCAAGAAGCGCCGGGCGAAGGCCAAGGCGAGGGCCCGAAGGAAGCCGAAGCCGGGAGCTGTGAAGCAAGATGATGAGGTGCGGAACCTAAGAATCCATGTGGACACGGAGAGAGACAGATGAAGAAACTGCAATATTGCAAGACTGCGATAGAAAATTAAGGAAAGATCAGAAAGCTCTGGTCACCGCTGAAACCTTCCAGTTGCCCCGAGGCGGAGGCGGCCGTTTCTTCCGCGGAAGGGGATGCGGCAGTGTCGGGCGACGGCGCGACCGACGCATCGGAGGAGGAGCCGGAGCCCGTCGTCAAGACGAACCGCCGGGCAGAAAGACTGAAGGCGTTGCAGGAGCGCCGGAGCCGTGTCGGAAGGAGCATGAGGCTGAACCAAAAACGACTAATAGGGATGATTAAAGGGATTGACAGACGTGCTATACTACTCGTTGATGCATCTGATAATGCATGCATTAATATTATAGGATCCTTTAAGTTTGTTTGTTTGATCCATTGGATGACCTCCACTGCTCTGTCCACGAGTTGTGGCTTGGACAGAACATCCCCGAAGTAGTCGCGCTAGCTCGCATCGGCTTATGACGTCTATCTTTCTATGTCCGGTGCTTGTTGGAGGAGAGCCGGATCAGACGGAAACCGACCACGAGCGTAGAGACAGCGAGCCACGGGCTTCAAGACACCGAGGACAGTTCAGAGCGAACGAGCCACAACCGAGGGGCGGATTCAGAATCTGACACCATGGTTTGGCACGGTCACATCATCCTGTATTTTAGTATAGGATGTAGCTAGTGATGTAGAGCTTTCTTTTTGCCATGTCATGTTTTTGTTTTTCAATGATTGACCTTTGCTGCGGTATTTACAGCCTTCGGCATGCCGCCGGCCACCAGCTCGAGCCCGCATTGGCAGGCAGCTTAATGAGACAATACCCTGCTCAATCATACTTGTTGGTGCATTGGAGGTGCACATTTGGCTGGGTGAGTTTGTTGATGTCTATTTCAAGGTTGTTTGACCATGAAATGGAACGAATCCGAATCAGAGGTTGTCTATTCTGATCCAGCGATCCGAACCGGCATGTCTCAGTCGAATCACCTAAGAGGAACCAAGTGAAACCAACACAAGCAATGCGAACCAAGACTATCCACAAAACATGACCTTGAAAACGATTCTTCTTCCAAACTACTTGGCCGTGTGCATGTTTTCCTTTTCAGATCTTTTTTCGACCGTCTCGAGGGATTGCGACACGCACCAGATATTCTTTTTCACACACAGAAGGCTTCAAAGCGACCGAAGAATTTCTAGATCTGGCATGATTTGTCGTTTTTTCTCCAAACCGTTTGAAATGAAAGACCCAGAATGACATCGAACAACAATACCCTGCTCAATCAGACTTGTGGGTGCATTGGAGTTGCACATTTTGCTGGGAGAGTTTGTTGCTGTTGATTTCAAGCGAAGTCTTTTTACAATGAAATGGAACGAATCCGAATCAGAGGTTGTCTATTCTGATCCAGCGATCGACATGTCTCAGTCCAATGGTTGTCTATTCTGATCCAGCGACCTACTACCTACTACCTACTACGTACCACCTACTACCTACTACCTACTACCTACTACCTACTACTACTGCTGCTACTACTACTACTACCACCACCACTACCTACAGTGGGGGGGGGCGTCAGGCTGTCGAAAAATCCGCGCGGAGAGACAAACCGTAGATTGAAGCCAACACAAGCAATACTAACCAAAACAATCCACAAAACACGCCGGCAGGCCGGCGGATTGTTGTAGTCGTGGTCATTTGTGACTACAGAGATCCCACGACAAGTGGCTGTGACTTCACGGCCCACCCGGAGTTCGTTCACGGCGTTTTCGTTCCCGGAGGAGGCAGAGGCCGGCGGCCAGGTGACTGGATCGGCGGAAGTGTTGGAAGAGGAAGACGAGGTGGACAGCCCAGGGGGCGCCGTCGACAGCCGCGAGACCTCACACGAACGACCGCAACGCAGGGCTTTTGGTCGGAACACAGACCGCAATGCGCTCAAGAAGGCGTTGAAGGAGAGAGGATGTGAGAAGTGGAAGACATGTATTGAAATATATATTGAAGAATGTTGAGCATGTTTGAGTTCTTTGATTATATAAATGCAGTTTTTTATCTCTAGACAGTCTGCATGCATATATGGTACATAAAAGGTCCTTTGTTTCAAAAGATCACGTGTTGCAGGAGGTCAGGGAGAAAACTGGGAACCCGAGTGGAGAACGAGAGCTCCAGCACATTGCAGACAAGGAGGAACGGCATTTGACCTGGAACTTGTTGAAGATTGCTCGCCTCTTTGGCTTAGACTCTACGGCCGACGGACTCTCGGATCTGGCCGATGATGATGATGCAACGGACTCGGCGGCTGTGGCAGCTCCACATGAGATGTCGCCGGCTTCCACGTCTCGAGCGACGACCAAACCGGCACCTGTGTCGCCCTCATCAGCGCCTGTGAGCAAATCCATACCGGTACGTCCTACTCCATCCGCACGTACCGAAGAAGTGCCCACACGAGCTACTCGATCGTTCTGGCACTTCCTGCCCGGTGCCCGGTATCATGACACGGTCAATACGAACTTGCACCGCACGCTGGCCAACTCGAAGAACTTCATGACCAAAGGAGAGGAGGAGGGCCCCCAAACTTCCGGAACCTATGCGGCTGATGTGGCGGATTTAAATCGTTCACGGTCGATGAAGCGAATCAAAGAGATTTGCCAAGTGGAAGAACGCGGCGCGTGAGGCAGTGGAAGTCCCAGTGGAAGCAAGGGCTGCGTTGAAACTCCACGTCTCTGTTTTCCGAGATCCCGATTGGCTGCAACAATGTACGGGGCGGCTACCAGGACACGAGCAACTGGGTAGAGGTTTGAAAGATGCCTGGCTTGAATCGAAATATGATGAAATATGCATGTCTACCGCATGCATGTGATGCTTGGAAACACGGGGGGAGAGGACGACTCGCATGTTTTGGACCACACTCAAAATGATAACAGCAGTTCGCGGGCTTGGTGTGATGCAAGGTGTCCAGTAAAAAGGCAGGTGTGTTTTTCTATGTTTTCTTTTTTTTTTTCTTCAGAACATTTCAGAACGGTTCTGGGTATTCTTAGGACGTCATGAAGCCGGGTGAACGCCATCAGCAGCTCTTGGAACTGGACGGTGCGTCCCGCAGCATGCGAACGGCGCGGGTGAGCATGAGCTTAGGGGTTTAAGTCTTCGTTGGACTTTGTTTTCTGGGACCCGTTCGACGAAGTCGCAGCGGTTCGCAGATGACGCAAAGATTTGGCCTCACGTGAAGAGTGAAGGCAGGGGACTGAGGTCTTGGTAGCTGATAGTTCTTGGCTTCAAGGGCTTTCTCGATACTGCAAAACCTTCGATGGCCAGACCACTTTGGTCAAAGAGATGGATGCTGGATGATTTTGGTACTTTTCCTTTCATTGAATATGGTCAAAGACAGTCTTTCTGACAGTCAGTCTTATGCTATTAGTCTTATGCACTCCTGGCTAGGGCACCCACAGAAAGTCATTTGCCGCCTGAAGCGTTCAACCAAGGCTTGTTTTTGACCACGAGACCAGGGCCCAACTTCGAAGCCTCTCAGTAGGCGCTCCCTACTGAATAGAAGCTACGCTTGGATAGGATATTCGATCCCTTTTGGATCCTTCTTGATTAGAGGTTGGTCAACTAGACCAACTTACAGGTCTTGGTCTGTGCCGTTCACCAAAAAGCAGGGAACAACCCCCCCAAAAACAACAAACCCAAAGACGCAACGCCTGGTGTGGAACCGAAACCCGGTTTCCGCCCCAAAAACACACCTCGCCTATCAGTCTTCGAGGTCTCCGAGCGGAAGCCGTCTTCGGAACCGCGAACGGGCCGTCTCACGGCCCTGAAGGGCGTGGCGGTGGGGCACCGAGACGGGGACCGAGAGGACCTGGGGGACCTGGGGAGGTTCCGGAGCAAAGGGCGCAAGCAAAGGGAGAGCGAATGAAAACCACAGGCGCCAATCCTGGATTGAAATGAACAAATCAAATAACACAACCATATGGACCATATACCTCCATGATTGATGAATCAGGTGTGAGCTATGGCCGTTTCAGAGGTTTCTCAGTTTCTCCCCCTGAGAACTTTCCAGTTGGATCTTGTAGAAGCTGAGGCACCAGCTTCTCCCACGCGGGCACACAGAATGGTGGCACGAGATGATCTCGTGGAAGAGGCACCATGACTTGGGCTTTGCTTCACGCGATGACTCAGTGGACAGGAAATGCTTGAATGCTCAATGCCCCAAAAACAAAAACCAACAAAAACATCAAATACTATTTTAAACGAAGCAACTGATTCGATGAATTCTAGCAAACAAATATGTTCAAGTCTTTCGAAGATCTTCCAAACTCCCTGCACCTGGAGGCTCTGAAAGCACGGAAACCTACCTCTGAGGAGCGACGGAGCGAGCTAAAAGACATGAGCTGTTTGTTTTCAAGTTGAGTCTCATCTCAATTCATGTTAAGTCTCAACCTTCGGATTATAGAGTATATGAAGTCGGGACTCTCATCCGGAGCTGGAGTGCGGACTTTCCCCATCAATCATGGAGTCCATTCCAGGATTCGGAGGGTGTGCCGAAGTCCACATTGAAGTCTTTGAAGGGACTGCATGTCCCAGACTCAGCTGTGTGTGTCCAGCATCAGCAGACGGCATTTTAAAGGGGAGGCGGGCCCTGCATATTTGCCTGCATTGCTACGCTAGAAGAAGGGAGAAGAAGAAGACGAGTCAGAAGCCCCCACAAAGTAACCTCATCGGCCAAACATTCAACTGCCGGAATCTGCAGCTTGAGTGATGGAGTTCCCAGAAAGATTCAGAAAGATTCTTGTTCAGTGCTTCACATCGCTTCACATCGCTTCACATCGCTTCACATCTCTCCCCCCTTTCAAAAGACTCTTTCCCCTATCGCTCCGAGCGGTAGCCCCTCTGTGGTTCTGTGGGTATTCTCTGCAGCCTGCTATACCGTTCGCGTCGCCCTGCCGCATGTCCGAGCGTATTCTCGAGCGTCTTGGGACATGCTCGACCGATGGACGGGCTGAACCACGGTCCGTCTCCCGACCGGGAACACACGGTCCGTCCGTCGAGGACGGAGAGGTCTCGCGGAGAGGTCCGGCCCGGCGGCCGTCGGAAAAGACCAAAGCTCCACCAAACGACTCCCAGACACGACTAATGGGACTGCCGTATATGCCGATCAGATGGGGTGGTTTTGGGGGGTCAGTGCAGGCATATATATGGCAGTCCCATGGAGTGTCTGGGATTGGAAGGTGATGGAAGGTTGACATATATGTTGAGATTCGCTGATTTGATGGGATTTGGATAGTTCATGTATGTTCATTTCAGGGGTCAAACAGCAGCTTCGACCCACTGCCACCTCTCAGATCCCATGATTTTCATGCTTAGGCCGCTGGCAGTGCTGCTGGCAGTGCTGCTGGTACAGCCACTGACAGAGCATTGGCTGCATTGAGCACCACGTCGCCGAGCCGTCGCCAGCTAAACTGATTTGGGGCCAGGAGCTGAAAAAAAGTGTGATGTGTTGCTCCTCTCGCTTTCTTTGAGAGGGTATATATAATATATACCAGGAGTCACAAAGGGGTGCCAATTGGAGGATAGGGGTGCCCATGATCCACTCACTTAGGGACTAAACACCACCCCTTTGTGACTCCTGGTTTCTTTCTTTTCCACGTTCTGAACCAACATCTTCCAACTGGTGAATTGAGGACCTGTATTTTGGGATAGACATGTTACGGCTGGTCAGCCTCATGCAAAATGCGTCACACCTTACACTGAGTCGTCACACCTTGCACGTTTGAGGTGCAGAAGTTGAGATGGAGGATGAATGGGAAGAAATCGGAAGGAGGACAGAAGAACTTGCTAAGCAGGCCAGTTTTTGCTGATGTTTTTGACATACCTTTGGCATCCTTTGGCAACGTTTGCGGTCAAAACCAAAGCAGATCTTGACTTTGCTTTGCTGCAGGCAAGGGAAGCAAAGGGCAAGGTCGCGCCAAAACAAGATGCCGGAATCTCCAACGTCTTTGACGCTTGCTGCGACGCGCTTTGATCAAACCGATGAGGTGCTCGGCCAGCCAGTGTCCTACAAGGAGGCTGTGGCTCAAACATGGATACCATCAAACCAAATCAAACCTGGAGGTTGGACACAATCAGCCTGTCCCTTTTGCTCTTTCAACCTGAGACATGCCCCACATGCTTTGAGGTCCATGGCTGGCTTTGGCAGGCCAACCTGATGCGATGTTGTTTTTAGCGGTCGAGTAGATGTAGATGCATCCAACTCTACCAGGAATTTGGCACCGGCAAGACTGGTGAAGATCAAGGCCAGCATCTGCAACTTGCGATGTTAGAACATGTTCCCCAGCATTTGGTACTCACCCTTATAGGTACTCGCATTGAAGATGTTCTATGTATCATGTTTGGTATTGCCCCTTGTTCATCGTCGCATCGACGGGCACCTTCGGGCACATCGGCTCCGGAACGGACCCCCCGCTGGCACATCGGTGAACGTGTTGTTTAAAAGTCCTTCGTCCGTCGACGCGCTTGAAGGGGATTCTGATGTTCACAGCAGTGAGGTGTGATGTCCCACTCTTTGCGGAGTGTGGTGCCGCGGTGCCGCGGTCGGTGCAGGTTCTGGCGAGGAGAGGATGGGCAAGGACGACGCGGAACCGCGAAGCTTCGAAGCGACGCCCAAAGCAGAGTCGGATCAGTCCGATGGTCCTCACACACCTGTACACATAGATGATGCATGTTTCACATCCTCGGTTTGGATCAACAGAGGGGCTCAAAACTTTCCAGGTCAAGTGACCTTATAGGACCTTAATAAGTGACCTAAACATCTATAGGTTGAAGGCCATCGCTACTAGCTTGGAGGCCTACTAGGTCCTTCAACCGGATTTCAGGGGAGCTGAGACTCGCCACACTGCAGGACCTCCTCCTGCGCGTGAAAGGCACCAAGCTGGGGTCTCGGAGCGCACCGGGTGCACCAGGCCTTGAGAGGTTTTTGGTTGACATGGGTGGACTAGGTGACTATAGATGGTTTTTGAATGTGAATCAGTTATTTCCAAATTCATTAAGTTTGGACATGAGATCACATGAATGAATTATCTGAGGAATATGTTTCTGTTGGTTTTGCTTCTTTCCTTTTCATCCATGTTGGTATGGCTCGACACTGTATGGCCTACAGCGTCCTACAGCTCACAAATGACCTAGCAAATGGAGGTCCTGGGCCTTTCCCATCCCTGGAATCTAGGTAGAATGAGGTGGATGATGGTGAATGGTATCCATCCGACCAGGTCCAACATTCACTCGCGCCGACCCAGGTTCGATTTCAATGACACCATGCATCACCGCATGCTGCGGACCATTTACTGCAAGCTGGCGAGGTGCAAGGTTTGTCCACGGACTGGCAGCCACTGGGAGGCCGGGCCAAAAGACAGAAAACACGAGAAAACACGGATGAACAAGGACCTCTCTGAAAGCCACATTTAACAGCAGCAAAATATGACTGTAGCAAATTGGTTGGGCTTTCTGTTGTCGGTGGGCTTTGGGTGCCCTTCCGACTGAACGTCTCCTTCTCGTCCTTCCAACCCGGGTCGGGACCCCGGACTCGTCTGGTCCGCTCAGGTCTTGGGCTTCCAAGGCAACGACCCCTTGACGGACCTGAATCGTTCTGCCGGACTGCTCAACGTGCGGGTCACCCGATCGGCGCGAAACGAAGCCCTTCGGGGAGCGGGAGCAGTGAGCTGGAGACCTATGAAAAGACCTTCGTGATGTTTCTTAGAGTACAGCATGTAGACGCGGAGGAGGAATGAGTGTTGTCGTGTGTTTTCATGATCACTCCGCGCCGCTGGCAGTAAGATGGACGAATGTGGAAGAATCTCAAAACTGCTTGCTTGGTCATCCTATATTGTAATCCCATGTAATCCTTCTGTTTGTTTTGTAATTGAGGGCAAGTACAAACCAATTGAATGTGTGCGACGGATTTTCTTTCTGGTGTCGCATGGACGGGCTTTGCTGTCGCTGCTGTCGCATGACGCCACTGTCCGACAGACAGGTGCTGCAGATGTTCTTCTTTTTTGCTCACTACTTCGATCTCCTGAAGTCTGCCTATCACTTGTCTCAGGAGTGGCCTCCGAGCCGACTTCGCATGGCTTCGGTCTGCGCTACGCAGGAAAGCAAATTTGAGTTGGAAACCCTTCCCAGACCAACAACCTTTGGGTAGTCCTTTGGGTAGACCAGTGCCGAAATCACGCCGAATCGGTTCATGTTCGATTGTTGTTCAAAACTTGAGTGGCGGGTTCAGAGGTGTTTGCCTCGATCACCAGGCTCTCAGAAAGTATCCCACTATAAATGATAGCGATGGCCTCCAGCCTACTAGCGATGGTAATGAATGAAAGGATGTGAATGGTTGCTCTATGTGGATTGATCTCATGGTATCTGACACGCTGGAGGATGACGAGCAGAACTTTCCGCTTGCAGCCGTCGGCATCAACATCACCAAGATTGTGATGGACCAGTGGGCTGCTGGCCATTTGGAGAGCCTGGAAGATCGTTTCGGGGTTTGCCTGCCATGCTTTCAGCAGAAAATACATGAGGAAGGGATCCTGGAATCCTGGATGTGGATCCTCCAGTAGATTAGTAGATGATGGATGCTTGCAGATGATCATGCAAAAGATGCGTTCATGTGGGACCCCATCATAGCGTATATGCCCCTGCAGCTCTTGCCAAGCGGCGGCGGCAGTTGATGTTTGCAAGTCATCATTGAATCCTTTCACTGGTCAAAGTCATTCAACGTCTCTATTTGACATTATTTGACTAGGGCTGTCATGCACTCCAAATTGTCATGCTTGTGCAAGCACTTCTAGGTTGAACCGGCCGTTACTTAAGCTTAGTAGATGCTTAGTAGCTACTCAGTCTTGTTGCGTCGATTGGGTGTTGCCAGGCGGTTCACGCCACAGCTCGTGCCTTTTCCGCAGGCGAGGGCAGGTCGCAGTCAGCAGTTCTCCAACCACACGGGATCGACATTATCCGCGTGCACGGTCCAGCTCTTCAGGTCTCTACCACTTCTATTTTCGGTGGCGAACGCAGAAGAGAACCATCAGGCCAGCCAGGGTTCCCACAAAACCCTATATAGCAAGAGTTCTTTTTTATAACCTGTAGTTTTATTAGATCCATTGAATCTATCTTGATATTACTTAAGGTCTCGAAGCCTAAGTACATCCGTGCTCATCCGTTCTGAAGGGCCTTTCCGATTGTTCCATGGTTTTCCTCCTCCCCTTCACCACCAAGCGATCTAGCGATCCTTCAGAAGCCTAGCGGGACAGCTCAGCGGCACAGGGACAGCGAGTTGACCTTCAACGAGGTGCCCCTCCCCCTCACCGGGGCGGGTGACCCGCCGGAAGGTTTCAGGCGGAGTGTCCGGACGAAAGGAGGGGCAGAGCCGGCAGAGCCGGACGAAAAAGAAGCCAAGCCCACAGTTCTCAAAGCATCGAAGGTTTCATGAGCGCACGACGGTGTCTTCTTTGTGTGCATTGTCATGATACATTGATAGCATGCGGCTACATGCACGCACGTTAAAAGCCAGCTGAGTTGGGCTAGCGGCTTAGACGTAGTCCTTTTCCCGACCTGTTGGTGGTTTCAGGTGAAGAGGCATTTAAGCAGCCAACCTGTGGCGCTACTAGAAGAACTGGACAAGGCTCAGCGATTCTGAGGTGTAGAGCATGAATGATGGTTCCAACATGCTGACACTGCTGGTGACATGGTGATTTTGTGATGTCTTGTGTGCAAGCAACAAGTCTAGGATGGATGCTTTCAGTCCCTTCATTTTGACTTCCCTTTGTGCGAACCGGCTGTTGAGCGGCTCAAAATATGACCTAATAATAAGCATCAATAAGCGCTCGCCGAGCCAGGCACAAATGGCTCGGAAGCAGAAGGAAGACCTGGCGGAACAGGTGGTTTGGAGCTCAGATTCTGATTCTACTGATCTCCGCTGCACAAATGGCGCCGTTGAGCCCTTGAGGACTTTACGGATCTTGGCCAAGTAGCTGTGGCAAACTGAGTTCTCACATGTTCTCGTCGAACAAAAGCCACGCTTCTTGTGGCTTTTGAAGTAAAGAAGGGATGAAGAAGGCCTAGCCTAGCCAGGCGTGTTTCATTCTGAAGCTTGGTTTCTTTGTGTGGTGAGTGCGTTTGGTAGGGGCTCTCAGAGTTTCTCTTCGTTTCTATTCTCTCATCTTTTCCACGACCCCAGGAAGATGCACACACGGAGCTGGCTCCACAGCTGACTGATTGAGGCATCAACCATCTATACTACCTGGATCTTCGGACTGCCAAAGTTCTGCCGAACTTGGCTGAAATTTATGGATAAAACGGCAGACATTTGGCATAGTCCGAAGATCCAGTTAATAACGTTTGGTTTCGGTTCACGTACCGGTCACGACTCTACGTTGTAGATCAAAAGGAGCCAGATGCCTTTGATGATCCTTGATGTCTCAACATCTTGCAAGGTTCTAAAACGTCCTTGCTTCTGTACATAATCGTTTCATCACCCTCCCTGTCCTGAAATTCTGGATGATGGGAGGATAGGATGAAGCAAGTGGCTCCGCAGGTGGCAGTCCGGAACAGAAATGCGGTTTCCGGAACTTGATTTCGACACATGATCACCATGCGTTCTTCCAGTCCCGCATTCTGCGCAGCTCGGCCCAAGCCCCAGGATCCTAAGTGAGAGCCTAGAGAGACATGACATTGGGGGAATGGCGCAGCAGTTTGAGGGTAGCTCCCTGTCCCGGCTTGCTACAGAGTGCAACATAGTGCAACATGATAGGCAGCAACCATTGTTCAGAAGAAAACAGAAGAATACATTTGAACATATTTGAGCTATATTATTATGTCGATCCTTGGTAGTACATGTTCCACTTCCCTTTTGCTATCTTTTGTGCTGTTTCTTTAAGCCACATCACTCAAGTGACAGACAGACACCCTCGGATGCTGGAGAGCATCGGAGATCCAGTGCGGGTACCCAGTGCTCACCCTCGATCCAAGAACCTGCTCTCGGCTCAAAGCCCTCCTCGGCTAAGCCGGTGCGAGTTCCTGGCACTGCACGGGACTCTCCGAACGATGAACGACCATCGCCACGGCGAAGACCTCCGAAGCGCGCGCTCGCCGTTGCCATCGCCACGAAGACCTCCGCGGTCGTCCGTCGTGAAACGACGTGGAGCGGGAACTGCTTCCGCCCAGGTGTCAGCGCTGTTCACGCTGGTCGATGCAGCTGGTTTGCTCTTGGCCGCCTGGGTCCGGGGGACCGCAGCGTCGACCAAGCGCGGAGCGCGAGACGCGAGACGCGAGACGCGAGAGGCGAGACGCCGTGACCCAACGACGCGAGACGGGAGGAACGGGGACAGTGGGGTTGGTCGAAACTTGGGAGCTTGAGGTGGTAGTTTTGTTTCCACGAAAAACACCCAGGTGGAGTCCAATATATTATTCCAAATTAACTAATTACAGATGGTCTGCCTTTTTTTTTTCGGAATCCATTGGACCATCTGTGGATGTTTGCTGATTTTTGTTGTTGCTGCCGGCCCTTTCCGAGTACTCGGCGAGAACCAAGGGCGACACTGACGAGTCGGAGTTCAAAGGGTCGATGGACCGAGAGGTTCTTGTTTGATCCAGCATGGCAGCTGGTTGAGGTGTGGTACCAAGTCTTCATGGTTGCTTTGGCGATGAGCCCTCCAAGCCCGTGCCAATCTCAGGTCCAAGAACCATTGACTTCACCTCTTTTTTGGGCCGTCAATGCTATAGAGGTTCTTACTTTGTAGAGACATAATGAGAAATGATCACTTCTGTGACAGGGTCCAAGGTTCGACCCTATATCATGATCATGAATGATTGGACCCATCGATTCTTCCTGTGCATTCTTACTGTTTGAGGTCCAGAAGGGTCGCTTTTCAAGCTTGCGTGGCCCTCTTCGAGGACCAGGCCCCAACAATCCCCCGACTGGCTGAGCACGTTCTTCACCCGAAAACATGCAAGCCGTATGAGCAGTACGAGCAAGGTCGAGCTTTGGGGCCTTCTTTGTTGGATTTTGCTCCAAAAGGGCTCCAGAATAGGTTGGAGGCCATCGCTTCTAGGTTGGAGGCCATTGCTATAGTAGGGTGGAGGCCATTGCTTCTGTAGATGCAATGAATTCTTGTTTTGCTTTGACAGCCGAAACCGACGCGGCTTCTCCATCCTCGGAGCAAGCGGACCTCCGGCAGATCCAACCAGAGCTTCTGTCGTTGAGAAAGCTTGGAATTTCAGGCCAGCTGCAGTTTACTTGGAGCTTGGTCAGGCCTGGACCCTGATAGCTTTCGGAAGTCCAGTCATAACTCATTTGACCTACCAAATGACAGTGGTGGATCATTGTCCTACCAGGTGGAGTAACAGTCAAAACAGAAGTTGTTGGTGAACATTGGCCTGTCAAAGACTTCTGTTGGTGAACGCACAAGGCACGCAAGGCACGCAAAGCAGCAGCTGTTTCTGACTCCGGACGTGGCACTGTAAGGCACCGACTCTGCCAGTGCGGCGCGGGAGGAGTTGGATGGCCGGAACAGGCCGGGCGCGCCCGGCGCCCAGTGGACTCAGACATGTTTGGTGGAACGAGAGTCTCTCCGGTGAAACGGAAGGTGATCGGAGATTCTCGGAAACATATGAAATTGAATATGATCCGGTATGTTGGGTCTGTCCTATTTACCTGTAACAGGAGCCGTAAAGAATTATCACTATGCCTTTACTAACCATCATCCACTGTTACAGGTAATTGGATAGACCCAAATGATATGATATGATATCACACAAGAATTGATACAAGAACTCTAGTGACCAGTCGTGTGACCAGTCGTGTGATCTTTGAGATTGTAGCGGCTTTCATCGCGCAAAAAGCTATTGGTTTGACCAGCATTGACAGATTGAAAGAATGCCTATACATCGAAATACAAATATCCTTGGCCAAACCCTTGGCCAAGGGCGAGAAATTCAACAGAAGTCCTTTGCTGATTTTGCTGGGGTGCACCGTGTCTTACCTGGGGTAGTGTTTGGCTGTGAATGTAGTGAGGGACGCGTGTAGCTGTGCCATTCTTCAGAATTCAGAATTCATTTGGAGCCTCGCAGTAGGTTGGAGGCCTCCAAAGAGGCCATCGCTCTTAAGTTGGAGGCCATTACTACTAGGAACAAGAACACTACTGGGTTGGCATTACTACTGGGAACAGGAAGCTACTAGTAACAAGGGCATTTCTACTAGCAAGGACGCTATTGGAGGCCATCGCTACTCCAGACTGAAATTCGAGGTCGGGAGAAGCTCAGCTCATCCAGGACCAGTTGCGGCGGTGGCAGACGCACGGCCCGGCATTGGCTTGAAATGTCTTGGAGTAGAAGCCTGGTTCTTCAAAGTGACCGAACTCGATATCCTGGTACTTATCATGGTATATCCTGGTTTGAGGTCACAAGCAGGCCTTTTTCACAATCAAGGACTCCAAAAAGATCACTTTGAGGAAGCTGGAGCATGTGTCCTCTATTTAAATAGCCCTCAAACTTCGCCTGGATTGGACCCATAGAGTTTCTCGGTGCAAGACGTGCAAGACGTGATTAGATCGCATCAGATGACGCCAGTCAGTCAGTGAGGGACTTGAGCCGGTTCGTGTGAGGAAAGTGTCTTTGGGGTCCGTTTCTTTTGAGCCATAAAGATCCAATCAAAGCAAATCTTGTGGCTTGCTTGAAGAATGCGCAGGACCGCCGTGCTCATGCGCAGGAGTCCGGCAACCCTCAAACTCATCATTGCAACCAAGCGAGCAGATCTAGCCTCCAGTCTGCAGATGCACCAGCAGATGCGGATGCAGAGCGATCTGAGGAAAGAAGTCCCGCTGAACCCGGCCGGCC